TTTTTGCTTGCTGCTGTTGCCTAGATGTCCTGTCTTTCAAATTAGGATGGAACAAACTTAAGCATCTACCCTGTGCCCTCAGGCCTTGCTCCTCAGTGGTCACAGGCCCAGCAGCACTGACACGTCACCCAGATACTTACTAGAAATGAAAATTCAGACCTCCCTGTCTTTCATTCATCCACCAAGGTTTTGAGAGCCAAGTCTGTGATAGGAAGAACCCTGGAATTACAGCAGGGAGCAAGACGGCAGTTCCTGCCCCCGGGGGTGGGGTCTGTAGCGCTCAGGAGAACTTTCTACAGGAATGGAAAATACGCACATCAAATGTGGCTAGTGTGACTGAGGAACTGGATTTTTAAATGTTATTTAAATTTAAATACTAACACGTAGCTGCTGAGGACCGCATTACAGTGGTTGTAGTGTTCAGGTGGGCAGGAAGACCAAGGACTAGGACTAAGACTGACGCACATGAGATGACAAGTCCTGCAACTTAGTATTTTATGGTTGGCAGACCTTTGCTGTAACCTTTTGGGCTTAACATCTGTCTCAGTGACTCAGTTCTATGAACGGGCATGGCGTGTTCCAAAAAAGTGTTTACAGAACAGGTGGAGAGCCAAATGGCCATAGTTTGCAAACTCTTAGTATAGACCAAAACAGAAGACAGGAGTTTAAAGACCAAGGTATGTGGTGACGGAAGTCCCTCTGTGGACTCTTTGGGAAGAAGATTATGACCTGGCTGCGTCGTGACATTTCAGGCCGAGAGGAAAACCAAGGCCTAGACTCTAGAAGCAATGCAATTGAGTTGTGTCAGGGAAGCAGGAGGCTCTCCTGAAGGCGCAGACAAGGAGGAACGAGGCCAGGTTACGGAACATAGCGGAAGCCGAGCGGGGGGTGTCAAGTGCATTTTAAGTGTTCTCTTTTTTCCTTCCTAAACGCCCATAACTTCAGGATCCAGAAGCATTGGCTCAACTAATGCTGTCCATACCACTAACCAATGACGGAAAATATGTACTATTAAATGATCAACCAGATGACAATGACGGAAGTCCAAGCGAAAATAGAGGCGCAGAATCTGAAGCATGACCTGTGCCTTTGGGGGAAGAGCCCAGGAAGGAGAGCTGCCTCCTTAAGGGTCTCACCTTCTCTGACACACAGGCGCAAACCCTGCTTTCAGAATGCTGACGGCCACCTGTGGAATGGACTCTCGAGGCCTTGGTACTGAGACTTGGGAGGGAAACAGTAAGAAATGGTTGATGACATTCCTACCCATCTACAAATGTTATTTTAGGTGCTTTGTGGTAAGTCCTTTTCTTAGATTGTTACTGTTCAGCGCTCAGAGTTAAAGTCATGAGAGAATGCATTGTTCACTTTACTTGAACGTCATCTCTTCATTTTCCAGTATCCTTTTTAAAAAGTGGCAAAAGCCTAGATTTATAATTTGATAAACACTAAATATTTCCTATTAATATAATCTATTTTTGTACTTAATAAGCTTTAAGTGCCTGTCATTCTGAAAATTATGTATTTATAATCAAGCTTGTCTCATAATTGGACCTAATAAGCATTAATCTGTGCAGTGGGGGTGGGCCCTGCCTGAGGCCCGCACACTAGCGGAAACACAGCTCTAGTTCCGATTGTTGTTCCAGGCGTCCTGCAATAAAGACTAGATGAGATCCACAGAGATGTTCAGTTTCACAGCGGATCCTTAATAAACCAGCATTCAGAAGTTTACGGTCTTTTAGATATTACTGGTTTTAGTGGTGGATCACCATAGACAGGGTGCAGCTCTGCCAGGTCCCGTTTCTTCTGAGCCAGACCTTCCTCATGGAAGGGACCAATTTTAAAACTCACCTGAAGAACAGCTAGTGTGGGGCTTGGCATCAAGTTCCCATTTCCACTCTGGCATCCCGGCCCACGCCACCATCCCCTCCTACCCGTGAAATAAGTAGAATGATCTTGAGTTGTACAGTGTGTTTAATTATAACCAAGTTCAGCAGAATGTTACTCTTTGTAATAAATTAACCTAGCAATAAGTGCTAGCAAATAAAATCTATCGTTCTGTTTCTTTTTATTTTTGTGGTTATTTTCGAGAATATCTTGGAAGGAAATTAGAGTTGGTTCTACTCTAACTTTAACAGTTAATTTGCAAAAAACTAGGGCAGAATGAAATCACAGCAGAGGAGATGACTATCAAAAAATACCTTGATTCAACATGAGCAGAATAATGGGATCTCAATGCCAAGTTTTAAAAATGTGTTGCTTTTAAAATGGTGAATTAATAAAACAATTTTTGCAACCTCAAATTAGGTTAATGTTATATGGAGTCCATCTGAGGAATCTACTTCTGTAATGTGTACACCATCAGAGACATAGTGAGCTGGTCCAAGTCAGTATGACATTATACTAATACCTTACAAATTTGTGCACCGTAATTACATCAGATCAGGAAGTTCTCTGACAGGCTGCAAGAGCCACAGTCCCCTGAATTTCTTTTTCTTGCTTAGAACTGTTCAGGGTGGGAGGGGGAAGAATCTCAAGTCATGAACAATATTGCTGGAAACTAAAATCAATCTTTTTTAAAAAGTTTAAGAATGTGTGGCTTTACCGAGCCACAAAGCATGTAAATCGTAAGAAAAGCAAAGACTGAAAATTCAGTACATTAAAACTAATCAAAAAACACCAGAGAATGAAAACATGAAATTAACCGAGCATATTAGCAAGCATGACCCACAAAAAATTACTATTTAGAATATACAATTGGGAAAGGACAGTTTCCTCAATAAATGACCTTGGGGAAACAATCACAATCTTATGCCACACAAAAATTAACTCAAAATGGATTAAAGACTTAATGTAAAACCTGAAACCATAAAACTAGAAGAAAACATAGGGTGGTAAGCTCCTTGACATAGGGCTTGGTTATGATTTTTAAAAATCTGACACCAAAAGCAACAAAATAAGAACAAAGGGACTACACGCAAACTAAAAAGATTCTGCACAACAAAGGAAACCAACAAAATGAAAAGGCAACCTACTAAGAAAATACACGCAAATCATATCTCACTAAGGCTAATACCTAAAACATACAAAGAATTCATACAACTCAACAGCAAAACAGTCTGATTAAGCAATGGGCCAACAGGGGCACGAAAAGATGCTCCACGTCACTAATCATCAGGGAAATGCAAATCAAAACCATTTCACACCTGTCAGAATAGCTGTCATCCAGAAGACAAGGAGACAAGTGCACTACTGGAGGGAATGTAAATTGTTGCGGCCACTATGGGAAACATATGGAGGTGCCTCATATAAAACTGAAACTCGTGGACACAAACAGCAATGTGGTGGAGGGAGACTCAATAGATGGTGACGGAAGATTTTACTTTGGGTGGTGGACACACAGTGCAATATACAGATCTTGTAACAGCAACCCACACCTGAAACCTATATGATTATATTAGCCAATGTCATCCCAAAAAAACTTAATAGAAATATTAAAAATAGAACTATAATCCAGCAATTCCACTTCTGGGTGTTCATCTGGGAAAACCAACCCACTAACTTGAAAAGGTATCTGCACTCCCATGTTCACTGAAACATCATTTACAATAACCAAGATGTGGAAACAACCTAAGCGTCCATCGAGTGGACGGAGAGAGAAACTGGTATACCTATACAATGGAATATTCTTTGGCCATTAAAAAGGTCTTGCCATTTCCGACAACATGGACCTCGAGGACACTATGCTATGTGAACTCAGACAGAGACAAATACCATATGATCTCTCATGTGAAATCTAAAAAAATAAACTGGTGGATACAGGTTGGTGGTTAGAGTAAGAGGGAGTAGTGGGTGAACTGCCTGGTTTCTTTGTTTACATAAATTGGATTTTTAAAATGTGATGGTATAGATAAGGTGCTCAGGGTGTAAAAGTATTACTGTGTCCCCCCCACTTAAACGATGACGAGCGCGCTGCTACAGAACGGTCCGCGACACACACATCTTACATATTGTTACAGAATGTACGGTCCTTGAAGATGACCCCAGAATTAGGACAGCAGATCTATACTGATTGGAAAATAAATGTCACCTACTTTCCTAAGTATGTCTCAACTAATGGAAACAACTGGAGCTATCAAGTAAACGTGGTATGGTAGCGAAGAGCCAGACTATTAAAAAGAAGAAAATACCTATAAATTTGCCCATATAAACTTTTTTTTAAATCTTCACCCGAGGATACTCTTTCCACTGCTTTTCAGAGAGTGGAACGGGGACAGACATCGATGAGAGAGAGAACCATCGGTTGGTTGTCTCCCCGATGGGCCCCCACCAGGGCCAGGGACCGAGCCTGCAACCAAGTATGTGCCCTTGGCCAGAATCGAACCCAGACCCTCCAGTCCACAGGCCGAAGCCCTAACCACTGAGCAAACCCGGCCAGGGCGCCCAGGGCCTTTTTATGGACTACTAGTAAGGACTTTCTGTATAAACTGAACTCTAACTGCCATCACCATCTCTCAGTTCGCTGAATAGTCCTATGACTTCACTTAATCTCTACAGATATCCACTTATTCTGGATTTTAACTGAAATCTTTGACAACCTGTTAAAACTGTTCCTAACATCTAAAAACCTTTGTTTATTAAATTGTAGCATTAAAACTTCCTTGAGAAAAGGAATACCATCAGTCTGAAACTTCTGCAACTTTAGCTGGAAGTTAGTCTACGTGTTAACACCGAGCCAGCCCAGCGTAAAGGGACTGGGGATGATGGATGGGGTGGGATTAGCTCACCTTCCCAAACCTTCCCATCCCCTCGGAGGAGGGGCGCCAGGCTTCCCCGAGGAAAACTGCTGCTGCTATTGACAAGGCCCGTGTCTCACCTCAGGGCAACATTTAAAAGGCGCCCACTGCCCTGGCCAGGCGGTGCGGTTGGTTGGGCATCGTCCTGTACACCAAAAGGTCGCGGGTTCAATTCCCAGTCAGGGCACATACCTAGGCTGCGGGTTCGATCCCCAGTCGGGGTGTGTACAGGAGGCAACAGATCGATGTCTCTCTCTAACATCAATGTTTTTTTCTCTCTCTCCCTTCCCTAAAAGTCAATAAAAACATCCTCGAGTGAGGATTAAAATAAAAGGTGCTCACTTATTATTGTTTCAGTTCAACTCATGTTTGCAAAGGGCATCTCAGTTATTTGTAACATTAAACACTGCAAACTAATAATCCATAATCACGTAGTTTCTTTACATGAAAATAGCAAGCAATACAAAGATCAAAAAGGTACAAACGAAAAAAAGCAAAAGTTCGTCACACAGGATGCACGGAGAGACGCCAGCACCAATCTTATACTTGAAATTCCTTGCCTAAGTGCATGCAAGTGCTTTTTTAAAGATAGAGTCCATATACTTTATTAGATTAAAGGGGACTCCAAAAAGGTTAATGTTAAATATTGTTTTAAGATATGATCAATTTTGAACATAAACATCCAGGGGAAGTAAATTTTTGAAATTATATTTATTAATGTTTTATTATACATATTGTATTCTATTAGAACTGAGGAAGGGGGAGGCCCCACTCAAGTAACAAACTTGCCATCTTTTACAAAATTTAATTGGAACTGACAGTGTTATGGTTAGGACTTAATTCCTGAGAATTTGAACATTATTAAGTTTTCTGTGAATTTACAACAAATGCTCACACTAATTTTAAATTACAGTATGTCTGAAAAAAATGAAAACAACAATATGTTAGCAAGGAAAACCATCCAAATGTGTATATTAACTTAGGTGTGAAACACTCAAGCCCTGTTAATTCAGCATTTTAATAACATTTAAATATACTTAATCTTTTCAGAGATTTTATTTCAAATATGTGAACTTACTATAATTTATCCAGACTGTAGTGACATTACTTTGAACTAAAGGGAAAATAATAACCTATCACTTTCTTCTCAAAGGCAGGTATCCACACAGCATGTGAACTCAATCGAGTATCAATAAATGACTGGCAGGTGGGAATAATACTGAACAGACAGCCGATTCTCTCCTAATTACATTTTTTCTATTCCTTTTAAAGGAGATGATTTTAGGGAAGTTGAAGAACAGAAAAGCAATTCTTTGCTAAGAAATAGTGGCAAATTTTATAGAATCCAATGCAAGATTAATATAAACATTTACAATAATGAAAATATAAATTATTATTTATGCAGCATGCTTTAGGGCCATTTCTAAAGTTAGAATGAATTACAAATATTAAATGCCTTTATTCATTATCCATAATTCTGTAAGTCATGTTTACATAATTTAAAAAAAAATCCTACCTACTCTGTTTCTTCTTTTAACAGTGAAAGTGTTTATCCTGAGCTGGGGAAATGACGCTGACTGTGACCAATGAATACAGACAGGGCATTACATAGCTGTTCCAAATGCTGGAAATCAAACATTAGAATTACTTACATGATTTATCCAAAGAAATGCTTAATAGGCAAGTGCAATGGAAAGTCAAGTATTCCCCAAACTGGTGTTAGTATTACATGTAAAGTTTTAAACTTCCGTGTTTTCACTGTAACGGTATTATTGTTTTATATGAAAAGATTATAGGCCATGATTAACCATTTAACTATTAACTGACAATGCTTTACAAAAATAAATCTAGTAGCTTGCTGGGAGCTAACTTTACTCAAAATCTTTCTATACTTTTTAAAGCAGTAAATGATTAGAACTTTATTGTCACAGTGGTAATTTTTTAAAAGCCTGCTTAATCTGCTGTCTTAAATTATACTTGGTTTAAAGAAAAAGTCTGCCCAAACCATCACCAAGATTTCAATTCAACCTAATGAAGAAACCTGAGTTTGGATGTAAAATAAGAATTCACTCAATTTTCTTGGATATCATGCATAGTGCCTTCAACCCAAAGTGAAGCTTCAAGCAGGACTCTATGGCTTTATCTGAATTTTCTTTCATCTTGCGTATGAAGTATATCTTAAATTTAAAGCAGTTGTTGGAGGTTAAATGTTCTCAAAGCAATGTAAACTAGTTATAAAGTGTCTCACCAAAGACAGCAGCAGCTCTTGGGAGTC